TTCATTCCCAAAATTAAATTTATTTTTGATTTCATTGTGTGAATGAATGGTAGCTGATGAGCTGATATATATATATATATATATATATATATATATATATATATATATATATATATATATATATACTCTTCTCCTATATATATATATATATAATATATATATATATATATATATATATATATATATGCTCTTTAACGTTCTCAATCCTTTACGTTTCATTAACATTAACTTGCTCTTCATTTTCATTTAGGGTTTTAGTTTTAGACAAATTCATTTTTAAACCTACTTGCGCAGATGTGTGGTCAAGTTGTTCGAGCATTGTTTGAAGTTCTTCCAACGATGAGGCCAGGGCAACGACATCATCAGCGAACCGCAAGTGGTTAAGCATCCCACCATCTACCTTAATACCCTTCTTGTCCCAGTTCAGCTTCTTAAATACGTCCTCCAGGGCCAGTGTAAAAAGTTTGGGGGAAATAGTATCTCCCTGTCGGACTCCTCTTTCCATTTTAATTTTATTTGTTATATTTATGTCATCCAGTTTGATAGTCATTGTAGCTGATTTGTAAATAGATGATATTATGCCCGAGTATCTGTAGTCTATTCTGGCATTTTGTAGGGCATCGAGGATGGCGTGTAGCTCTATAGAGTCGAAAGTCTTCTCATAATCCACAAAGGCGACATATATAGGGAAGTTGTATTCAGTGCTTTTCTCTATGAGAGTGCGGACTGCCTGAAGGTGATCCACAGTACTATATCCACTTCTAAACCCTGCCTGTTCCGGGGGTTCATAGAAGTCGGATTTGTTTGACAGGCGATTTGTCAGCACCTTTGTGAATATTTTGTAGAAGTGCGAGAGCAGGCTGATGGGACGATAATTGTCGAGTCTGGTGTTATCACCCTTTTTGTGAATGAGAGTGATTGTTGCGTTTTGCCATAGCTCTGGTTATCTTTGTTCCATAATGCATCTGTTAAAAATTTCCGTCATCTTCTGCAGTAGAAATTGTCCACCAGATCTGAACATTTCGGTTGTTACTCTGTCTTCTCCCGCTGTTCTGTTATTTTTCATTTGGGACAGGGCTTTCCTTATTTCTTCTACGTCTATTTCAGGAATTTCCTCGGAGTTAACATTAATGACTGGGGGTCTAGTGGGTTCGCTGATCGTTGTTATTTGTTTGCTGTATAGTGTTGTAAGAACTTTTCAATCACAGAGTAAGCATTGAATCTAACGACTATGGTCGAGACAGGCCTTCCGAATCTTTCAGTTAAATTTTGTTTTTGCTTCCGAGTCTGTTCCTTCTAAGTACTTTCATATTGGAATTCTGTTCTATGCATTCCTTTATCATATACGTGTTGTAAGTTCTAGTGTCTTTACGTATAGCCTTATTAATTACCCTGTTCATTTCTCTGTATTGTGATGTGCTCTTATCCAGCTTCCGTCTCTCCATCATTAGTTGTTGTGTTTCTGGGGATATTTTTGCATTTCTGGCAACTTTTAATCTTGATGTGGTCTTCCTGGTACTATTTATAATCTGGGAGGTTGTTTGTTGTACCATGGGTACCATGGGTATAGTGATAAATAAGGTCTAAATTATAAGAAAATGCATTTTCTACGAAAACTTGATAAGATAGGTAAAAACTAGTGTAATACAATTTGACAGACAATTAAATTGTGCAACTGATTCTCGTAAAATGTATAGGGTGTTCCATTTAAATTAAACAAGTTATTGCCGTTTACAGCTAGTAATCATTTAATATAAATCTTTAGACACTCTGTATAAGGTAGTATTTAGTTTATTACTGCAACACAATACCTGATCAATAAATAAACTTCAGTAAATATTTAGTATAAAAAACTTCGATACCTTTGGAGAAATGAAACCTTAAAATTTTTACTGCAATTTCATGAAATGAAAATATTTCAAAAATGGTAAGGATGAAGTGTGATAAACCTTATCAAATTTACCTTTATTTCAATTATAGAATCTAAAAATAGAATAATATATAGGGTGTTCCATTTAAAAAAAATACAACTATAATATTTTTTACGTATTTGCGACACTCTCTATCTTGTAAAAATATTTTTAAATTGTAGCTCTAATAGACCTTCAACGAACCCAAAATTTACAATTTGTAAAAATCTAATCGTTTAGCTACATTACTCCGTGTCTTATGTGGTGAAGAACCCTGTATAACTGCGTAAATAAGTCTGGAAGTAACATTCAAGACACTATATTTAAAATGTAATGTGTAGTTATTACTTAAAGTAGCACAAACGAACCTTTTACATTCGCGGAAAACTCGCAGAGTAGAAAATACCGTCGGCGACGTGATGAATCCTCAAGGTGAGCTGGAAATTTAGACCACACCTATTAATCATTCCCTGGCGAGAATCCTAAGCCTTTAGTCTAGTCTTTTCATCGCAAATGGTTTCAAAGGCGCTTTTATATTAATGTTTTCTTAGGGTTTTATTGTGCAGCCTAATTCAAGAAAGTAATCTTTATACGGGACAATGAAATATGTTAAGTTAAAAATAAGCTTGTATTAAATTATAAGAAAAAATGGTGCATAACAACTGAATATAGTTACTCAATTTATGATTTTACCAGTGTTTATTCAAGACCATTATTTTGTCAATTTTACAGATATTTTATTATTTTAGCTCAAAAACTATTAGAGATAGATATACAATATGTCCCCGGAGTGTCCTTACAAGAGGAAAAACATTTTTATTATTAACATTTTGACAAAAATGCATTCTTCAAAAAAATTGCTTCTTTTATAATGGCTAATCCCGATTATACTTTTCCATGTTCCATACCGTTTTAGAGAAAATTAAGAAAAACATGAAAATATGATTGAATTCTTCTTGAAGTCCTAAATATCAAAAGGCGTTTCTATGGTAATATCAGATCGATTTCATTTTTTGATAGATGGTTATTATTAATTTTGATTAATGTTATATTCTCTTTGCTGTTGTTAAAGTACCATATTTTCCGATAACTATCATTACCCTTTCTGTAGCATTGAACAAAATAAATTTATAATTGTAATATATTATAATAATATTTTAAAACAACAAAAACATTATGTTAATTCAAATTCTATAAATAACAATCTATCAGGAATAAAAACGAAGTTATATTATGAGACAACATATTATTAGATATATACAAAGGTGTTCCGAATTGTATTCCGGAAACTTCGGCGGCATATTCTGCAGATAGAAATAAGTAAAAAAGTTCATATAAAGGTATGTCCCAAAAAGTTTCGGAGATACAGGGTGTAGAAGTTTCATTTTTATTTCGATTTTTTCCAAATAATTTCTTAAGTAACGTAAATATTTGGATGAAAATTGGTATATGGGAGTTTTTTGACATGAGAAATTTGATTTTGATGTAAATATGACTCCTATTTGTAGGGGGCGCCACCTACATGTGTTTTAACTGTTTTGAAGAGTAATAACTTTTCGTCCGTAGCTGTATAAAACTACTGAGTGGAAAAATATACATTTCCGTAACTTTCTACGTAAAAAATGTCTCTTGGTAAAAATCGCTACGAGCAACTATTCTCAAGATATTTAGAATGGAAATAGTCAATACATGTCATTATTGATAAAAAATAAACAGACGTTGAGTAGATAGTTATTTAACTGAAATAATGAATTTGGGAAATTTTTATTTTTTTTAAATTAATCATAAATTTTCTGCTAAAAAATGATGATAAAATAGTTTCTATTGACCTTTTGGCACAAAAACAATTCAAATTTATGATTTCAGTCTAATAACTATGTAATCAACATGTTGAATTTATGTCAATGATGATAGGTACTGATAATTTCGATTCCAAATATCTCGGGAACCATTACTTGTAACGATTTTTACCAAGAGAACTTTTTTACGGATAAAACGTTGCAAATGTATATTTTTTTACAAAGTAGTTTTATACAGATATGGACGAAAAGTTATTACTCTTCATACCATTTAAAAAATATGTAGGTGGCGCCCTCTACAAGTAGGAGTCATATTGACATCAAAATCAAATTTCTCATATTTAAAACCTCCCAGACCCCAATTTTCATCCAAATATTGACGTTACTTCATAAATTATTAGGAAAAAATCTCTCTCGAAATACAAATGAAATTTCTACACCCTATATCTTCGAAATTAAGCATTTTAGAACATACATTTATATGAACTTTTTTACTTATTTTCATCTGCAGAATATGCTTCCAAAGTTTCCGGAATACAGTTCGGACCACCCTGTATATTATAGAAACGCGTTTTGATTTTTAGGACTTCAACCATATTTTCAGGTTTTTCTTCATTTTCTCTAAAATGGTATGGAAATTTGGAAAGGTATACGGGATTAACCATTTTAGAAAAAGCAAACATTTTTATGAAGAATGCATTTTTCTCAAATTGTCAATAATAAAGAAGTTTTTCCTCTTGTAAAGACAATCCGGGGACATATTGTAGGTTAGTATAATAGAAAATTTTTGAGATGTGAAAGTAGTTTCCAAAAATGTAACAATATACCGGGTGTCCTATTTAAAATAAGAAAGATGCTACCACTTTTAATGTGAAGCAGTAACACTGTGATGCTAAAAATAATTTAGTCAGATGGAGCAGGTGATTTTATGCAAAAATCTAAATTTTCAAAAAAATCCAGTTCATCACCATAAACGTCTACCGTGTCATCGCCGTGAATCTTAAATAAGTGCAATTATTTTTAGGGGTAGTATATTTTGACCACAGAAACACGTTTACGAGGTTTTTTTGTGAACATTTTTTTTTGGAAAATTTGGAATTTTTTGAAGAAAAAAAATTCGACCAACCCTGAAAATATTTGTACTTTTTTTATTTTAAGACTCATCCTGTATAGTCACTAACGATTTCATAACTGTCGTATAATTTCCTTTGCTTTTCTGTTTTACGTTAATTTTATCTCTTAAGTTTACCTTTATACTTGTAGTACTTACAATATTTATTTATATTTTTAGGATTAAAAAAGTTTCAAAGCATGAAAGATCTTATACCCGACTTCTATGTTCTGTCAATTCCATAACTAATCTATCATATATATGGTACAGTGTGAGTAAAAAAAATCATGTTTGTGTGTCTCTCTAAATTTTCTATATTCTTTTGTACTATAGTCCGTTGAGAACAAATAATGAATTAAATATAATTATATGTATATCTAGATAATATTTGTATTACTCAGTCCTTATGTTCAGCTGAATAATTTGGCAATGTGTTATTAACATATCATGGGACGGATATTTAAACATTTTCATTATTATGTCAGTAGGCAGTAAGGTAGTTTTTGTGATATATAATATAATATATGATCAAAAACTCAAAAACTAATCAAGTGTTGTATATTGATAGATAGAAAATTGTTATAAAAATTATATTAGAATTTGTTTAGCTATCATTAAGGCAATTCGATTATGAATGTTTTCGATTCTATGCTAGGTGTTGTTGGGATAATATAAAAAAGTGACTTAAAATAAACGATTTCAGTATTATATACCGTTAGGAGAATGTAAAACAAAATATGTGAAGGCAATAGCGTGTAATTTAGTATTAAATAATTTATAATTTTTAGAACAACATTTAATTCCCAATCAATCATAATAAACTTGGTTATTATGATATAATAATGACATTTTGTGATGATAGTGAAATATAATTTAATCGATGTAAGATGTAAAGAAGGGAAAAGAACTGTCAATATTTTGAATAAAATTGGAGATACACTTCAACTATACTAAAATCTTTTTTAAAGCTATTATTAAAACGTGGTTATTTCTGTCAATGTTCATAACAGCAAAATAACAGTTTTGACTATGAAGTATTTTTATAATACTATAACAAATTTACACATTTATAATTTCTTTAATTAATTTAATTTTTTAATGTTTTTAGTAAGTTTTATATACTGTTATTCTTACTTTTACTAATTTTTTGACGACTGATTTGGACTTGTGATTCGTCATTCTTATCCCTATCACTTATATCATAAATTATGTTAAATGATTATTTTAAGATAGTAGTGTATCACCATATTATTTTATTTTTAGAATTATGAAAATCTTAAGTAGAGAAAATGTACTGAAAGGAAATGATTTGATGCTTACATGACTGATGTATAAAACTGACAAACTGTCCATTATTGACTGTTTTAATAAATTATTATAAAATAAAAATAGTCGTTTTATTGTTGCCTATGTGTGGTTGTGTCCAATGGTTGTCCATATTTGGTTACATTTCCCTACATTAAATAAAATTCTGCAAAAAAGTCTAAAAGTATCAAAATTTAGTTTTGTACAAGTTAGATTTATACTTAGTGGTCATTTTGACTCACATTTTTAAAACCCGTTTTAAAGGGTTTTAAATTTTTATATAGCAACAAACTAAATCTCCCACAAACTATAATATGAATAAACAAAAATAAAGCTTAATAAACGCAATGTATGATATACCTCTAATTTATGTGTTTTGGATATTTTCAAAATAAACGAATAAAAAACATTTTTAGTAACGCTTCACCGTTTTAATTTTTTTGCCAATTACCACGTTACGCTGTTTTTTAATCTCTTCTGATTATTTTGGTAAATATTTACGATACCCCTGAAACTAGTTTTCGAAATTAAAAACAATACATTATCGTCAAGCGAAAACATTTGGATGCATTTTTAAAACACCGCGGGCGTCGCATTAAACTACGAAATATTACATTTGATTTTGGCAGATTATTCATTATAAAGTTGTGGTGATATATCATTGTATTCGGAGTTGATAAAAATATAATATATATATATATATATATATATATATATATATATATATATATATATATATATATATATATATATATATATATATATATATATATATATATATATATATATATATATATATATATATATATATATATATATATATATATATATATATATATATATATATATATATATATATATATATATATATATATATATATATATATATATATAAAAAAAGAAAATCTGGGATTTAGTGGGGTTGCAGTCGGAAGGGTTTGACAAAGAATTAATACACTTTGTTAATTGTCAAGCTTTCGGAATTTATTTATTCCTTCCTCAGGACACAAAATGGAAATACAAGTTAGACAATTGCTGTTATAAAAGTTAAGAATAAGACTTACTTAACGTGGTACAGAAAATACCTTCATAAAAACTACATTAAACATGGTTTGTGTTGATAACTCCACCGTGAAAGCATCGCTGACCAGTCAACCACAAGGACTCTTATAAGGCGGTTAAGCCGCCAAATATAAGTTAGAACATTAGAATAATTAAGAGATGTTAGAAATTTTTAAATTAAAGAATTTTTTGCGTCTCAATCCGAAGCGTGGAGGCGCAAAACAATTGACAGGCGACAACCGCGACATCCAAACGTCAAAAGTCAATTGTCAGAAGTCAAGTTAGTAAAAGTGATCTATGGATGTCGAACAAGGCTGTGGCATGTCCATCATTGTATTCATGTAAAAAACCAATGGTGTGGGTGGTCATGTAGAAAAGTGGAGTGATCAAGGCACAACACTAAAAAAACACTAAAAAACATTAATAAAACACCCTTACTCGTGCAACGAGAGCAAAAAACAATTAGGTGGTAAAATACAATTACATTTACAATTCAGAAAATGTCACCAAATATCTGCAACCAGAAATACACCGAGCGCAATCAGAAAAAGAATTTTCTTATAAGCAATTGAATAAACATTAGGATGTGCTAAAAATTCTGAAAAAAAGACAAGAGGTGCAATGCAAACACTTAGAAAAGGCCAAATGTGAAGAAGGTAATGAGGAAAATATGACAATAATGTTCATATTAATCAATGTGAAAAACTGTCACAAAAAATCATTAAATTGTACAAATTTTTCCTTCACAATTTTTTATTAAATTCACAGGAAATTCATGAACCAAACCTTTTCACAGTATTGGCAATACTTCCAAAATTACAAAATTACATAAGGTGTAAAAAACTACAGAAACACACTCCGCAAAAAGGGGGGGGAACAAACAAAATCAGCAAATTAAGACAGTTGAGTGACAAGGAAAAGACAATGTGCGGCTTGGACAATCCAAGAAAAGGCAATGCACCAAACTGACAGTGCACTCCACGCAAATTGCTTATTATCATTAAGAAACATTTAATCAAAGGTAAAACCTTTCTTAATGATAATAAGCAATTTGCGTGGAGTGCACTGTCAGTTTGATGCATTACCCTGGATTTCCAAGCCTGTGTCTTTCGCTGTCGCAACTATCTTAATTGCTGCGGAAAATTCTCTGCCTTTGCGCTCGGTGTATTTTGCTGTTTTGCAGTATATGGTATGAAATTTCCTGAATTAATAAACAATGAAGAAAAATTGCAGATTTTTGTGACATTTTCTGAATTGTAAATGTAATTGTATTTTACCACCTACGACTGTTTTTTGCTTTACTGCGCTTTCACGAGTAAGGGTGTTTTATCAATGCATATTAGTGTTTTAGTGTTGCGCTGGTCACTCCTGGTTGACTACATGACCACCCACACCATTGGTTTGTTACATGAATACACTTATGGGCATGCCACATGCCTTGTTCGACATCCATGATCACTTTTACTAACTTGACTCATGACCAATTGACTTTTGATCGTTTGATGATCAACGGTTTCGACAATTGTTTTGCGCCTCTCGCTTCGATTGAGACGCAAAAATTTCTTTAATTTAGAAATTTCTAACATCTCCTAATTATTCTAATGTCTAATCTTATATTTGTTCTTTAACCGCTTATAAAGTCCTTGTGGTTGACTGGTCAGCGATGCTTTCACGGTGGAGTTATCAACACAAACCATGTTTAATGTAGTTTTTTATGAAGGTATTTTCTGTACCACGATTAATGTCCTGAGGACGGAATAAATAAATTCCGAAAGCTTGACAATTAACAAAGTGTATTATTAATTCTTTGTCAAACCCTTCCGACTGCAACCCCACTAAATCCCAGATTTTCTATATATATATATATATATATATATATATATATATATATATATATATATATATATATATATATATATATATATATATATATATATATATATATATATATGTATGTATACCTACTTGTATACCTACTTGTATAAATAATTGGCCATTTATTAAAATTTAAATTACCTCCTCATTTTAAAGAGAAGAAATAAATTATTAGGTTAGTATTGGAATGGGAACATAATGCGCAACCCCAAATATTTTGCATTTGTTCATCAAAGGCCGGAGGGGTTACAGAAGGATGAAACTGTGTCTGAGGAATGTTAAACAGTGGGCAGGCCTACACGATGTACAGGGTAGGTCAAATCGCCGCGCCGCTTTTAAAGGGAAACACCCATTGGTTGGATTGGGTAATTTTCTTAGTTTAGAATAATTATTATTTCTTATAGTCGAATAATTATTACTTATTCTTGGACCTATATATACCGCAATTTTGTAAGGGGTTTACAAAATCGCGGTATTTACCTGGAACGGTCGCGAAAGTAACGCGGATTATATGTGGAACCGATATTCCCATCACTTTGTTATCATAAATTGACATTAAATATATGCGAACATTCGCTCGGGGATTGTTTTATTACGTCAAATTGCATTCGTTTTTCAATTTAAAAATATTATTATAAGCTTTAAAAAATTAATGTTATCGTTTTTGAGGCTTTTTTGGAGCTGGGGCCCTTAATCCTCTGGTCGGCGTCGCCGTCGGGTCCCTACGTAAAAACGGTACTGCCGATGAATAACATATTTATATCTACAGTATGTCAGCCGATTGTCTTCATAAAATTTTTTGCTTGTTCTAAAATGGAAATACCTGTTTATACTTTTCCAAATTTCCATACCGTTTTAGAGAAAAATAAAAAACATGAAAATGTAGTAAAATTTTTGAACTAGTAAAAATAAAACGCGTTTCTATGGTAATATAATTTCGCTCTCATTTTTTGATAGATTATTATTGACAGAATTTTAATTAAAGTTATATTTTTTGCTGTTTTAAAATGTTGAAGAAGCACAAAATTTATTTAGTCCAATGCTACGGAAGGGTGATAATAGTTATTGAAAAATGTGATACTTTAACATAAAAAAATATGACGTTAATCAAAATTAATTATGTATAACGATCTATCAAAACATGAAATCGAAATGATATTACCATAGCCTTTTAATTTTTAGGACTTTTAACTTTTTTAGGATTTTTTTTGGGGAAAAATTACATTAAAAAACTACATTTTTATGTTTTTTCTAAAACGGTATGGATATTTAGAAAATTATAAATACCATTTTACAACAAGAAAAAATTCTTATGAAGAACGCATTTTTTTCAAAAAGTCAATAATAAAAAAAGTTTTTTCTCTTGTAAAGATAATCCGGGGACATACTGACTGTAATATACAGGGTGTCCCAGAAATAAGTGCAAGTATTTTAACTGGTTCAACCCCAGAAACACGCCTATGAGATTTTTTTCGCGAAAAAAAATTGAGATCTCGAAATTTTTTGAAAAATTTTTTGGGATTTTTTTTTAGTTTTAGTTAAAAAACATAATTTCTTGTTAATATGACAACATAGGTATTAGATTAAATTTACAAGAAAGAAAATCCAGAGAAGATCCAGTGGTTCACAATTTTAGCAAAAATAATTTCGTTTGACATTTTCGAAGTAAAATAACTCCGTTATTCTGGACTTATTTGAAAAACGATAAAGAAAAAAATGTTTTTTTTTATCGAGATCTACCACCCCTTAAAATACTTGTACTTATTTCTGTGACACCCTGTATATATATATATATATATATATATATATATATATATATATATATCGATTTTTATTACAATTAGCACAGTATATAAATACTTGAAATTTGTCAACCATTATACATACGTCATTAAATCTTTACAAAATGTGCAGGCCGGGGCCACATTTAGCTTTGCCGCCCCGGGCCTCCGACAGGTTTAGTCCGCCACTGATGCTGGTGAAAACCGCACATCGATTATCTGTTATCGT